GGCCGATTTATCATCGTATGAAAAGTATCCAACTGTAATAGAATGATATGTAAACGGGGTTTACATACAACTTTATTATAAAAAAAAAGTGAACGAAAACCAACCGGATTGGGCCAGGTGCATTAGATAGGCCTTCCTTATCTTTCAATTGTCATGAAATTTAGCATCGATTAAGTTAATATTTAAATACAGATAACATTAAGGGGAATCTGTGGAAACTTTGTTTTCAATATGTAAGGAGTGCTCACAGTGTAAGTACTGTTTTCAAAATATATTAAAATATACTACCGGGGACTACTTATATCATGTATATGACAATGACAATGACACCTTCCTGACATTTCAATATGAAAATAAGAAGATGTAGTATCATTCAAAATGAGACAAATTTCAACCAGAGACCAAATGACATGATAGAAATTAATAACTATTGGCCAACAACGAGCATAGTCATCTATAACAGGCTCCGTAATGACAAATGTTAAACAATTCAAACATAAAACTAACTGCCTGATTAATGTACAAAATAATGAACGAAAAACAAATATGATATACAGCAACAAACGACAACCACTGAATTACAGACTCCTTACTTTGGACAGTCACATACAGAATACGTCTATTAAATTCAATATATACAAAATATTCAATGTATATGAAATTTGGGTTACAGCTAGGCTAGGCTTTATAGATATTAGTCCTTTGAAAAGGATGTCTCTGAGAAAATTTTCACTTTGAAATGTACAGCGGACTTTAAGATGTCACTAATTTTATAAATTTAAACAAGAAAATTTGAATATCGAACAGACGATTGTATATCGAGTATTGAAAACGAATAAAGAACCGCTAACCGTCAGTGTGCCTCTTATAGAGAGAAAAAAAAAAACAAAAAAACAAAACAAAACGCAAAGAAACGAAATGTCTAGTCATTTGTTGTCGAAATGCACCTTTGGTGCATTAAAATTGGTACCGTTAAGGTGTTATGCAGATATGGATGAAAAAAGTAATTCTTAAAATTAAACGGAACAGAGTAAAATATAATTATTTCATTATCATGAAACATATTTTGTCTCGTTTTATGTCGTTACGTTGATTCAACTAGTACAAAGGTGCATTTCGACAATAAATAACTCTTTGGTGATGCTCGAGGCCAAAAATTATAAAATTACAGAGCTACTTTAACTTCCGATTAAAAATAAAAACTTGAATTGAGAACAAAACCGTTTTTGTATAATGATTGGCGTATGACAAGAACAACGAGTTGATGTACAATCGAGGAAAACAGAACTACTACTGATGCAGGGACAACAAATGAATAAAAGGAAAAAAGTGTAAGGGAGAGAAACGAGAAAAGGGAACGAAAGTTAGAGATAGCAGAGTATACCGCACCTGTGGTCATGTTAATATATCATGACTATCTTCTTTTGCAGTAAAAGATTTGGAAATAAACCGATGCAAATACTCAATGTCAAGAAAGATATAAAAGATGGAAAAGATTTTTTATTTAAATTGTTAAGATGTAAAAAGAGCTTGAAGGAATACATTTTATTAAGGTTGATCGTAATGGAATATCTATTACACATATAACGACGGATACCACAAGTGTGTCCTCTTTTCATTGGTCGTATCATCACCGAATTTGTACATGACAATACGACTGATGCCACATTTGTAGCAGGATCTACTTACCCAAACTTCAGGAAATATAAACTAACTCCCCCTTTTTGGTGCATGGATTTACACTAAGTTCGTGTTGACCAGTATTTAGTTTTCGATTTAATGTTTTGTAGACTACTGTTTATTTTTTGTCTTTAAAATCCCTTTTATATCTTCCGCGTGTCTTAAGAAAATAATAACTTGTCGTTAAAACGAATAATTCTAACTGCTCAAATGGGCTCCCGTAGTGCCGTGATCTCCTCGATTGCGGTAGGTCGTCTGTTCGATACTTGGCCATGTCAAAGCCATGATAACTCGAAAGTGGTTATTTGCTGCTTCCACGCTATTTATCAGCATTAAGGAGTAATAGCAACAACTAGTCTGGTCGTAGTCAGAATTTGTCCTTGTATTGTACTATGTATTTCGGACTCACGATTTCTTTGTGAAGTAACACGTTTAAAATCAAACCTAGTGTGTCTGTCTAGTACAAAACAGGGTTCATATTGACACCTTAACTAGTTCTCGTTCCAGTCTGCATATAATATTTGCTACTAGACGTTATTCACTATTGGATTAGCATTATGTAAATCGTTCTGTAGTTCATTTTATTGTGTTAATTCTTAAATCAACTCAGTCTGAATTTAAAACGGAAAAAAGGAAATATTTCGTTGTTATACATGTTATAATATATATTTGATTAATTCGTATTTTGTTTCGTTTAGTTGGTTCCTTTTTTCGTTTTACTTTTTTTGTCGATTTCGTTTCTTTTCGTTTCGTTTCGTATCTATCTTGTTCAGAACTTCATGGTATTTTGAAGTTTTAACATTTTATAATATCGAGTGGATTAATATCGGGGTGGTGTGGTAGAATCTTTGTGTATCGAATTATAAAATAAAAGTGTACTTGCAGTATGATAGTTTGAATATAAGATTTGAAGTTTACGCCAATGTCAAGGTTATTGAGAATGACACAAAATATCAAGACAAGTCAAAGTGTACAGTTTAAGGAAATGATGTGCAAAAAGTGCTATCGCCTTCGAGTAAAAAATACGCTCAAACCGGTGCTATGGTCTCAAACTGTTAGTGGAGTGACATATATTACTCCGTGTTGAAGGCCTTGTCGTGTATTTGAGATAAAAGACATCATGAAAGCGTTGTGCCTTTGCATTTTGTTTGTTTCATGTGTATGTTTGTCAATGTTCTCAAATATTCTATATAACTACAATTAGAAATTCAGTAATGCATTTAGAAACTTTGCCATGCAATACTAACTTCACTATCTATTAATTGAATCTACGTTTGAAAGTATTAAACGTTTCTTAACTGTTTTCAGGATGTTTGCTGATCTTGCTTTTGACTTTTTGTGAGTTATTCTGAATCTTCCGTGTTTTTCCATGTAGTACTGTTGATGGTATAGTATTAAAAGAATTTCACCCTAATTCCTTCTTTTCTTTTCATAATGTTATTAGACAAAGCTTATAAAGCCAAATTTGAAAATGTTATAAAATCCTTGTTATATGTATGAAAAAACTAGAGATCTATTTCCCGCCAAATTGTCAATGGCTTATACATCAAAAACATGGACTTGGAACTCCCATTTTCCAGGTTTTTTGTGTCTGTTTTTATATACTATGAATGTATAACCGTCTTTTGAAAGCTACTTGTAGTTATTTTGAATCCGCAGCAAACAGCCTTAAGATCAATATAACGAATAATCTGACTTCTTCACTCTCTCTCTCTCTCAAGTAATATTTTCACATAAATTCGAGCGATCATTGTTCTTCATGTAAAGCACAGTATGTTAATTTCACCTTTAGAGTTGATTGCCGAAAACGAAAACCTCGAATGTACTGACCGTTAATCGGATAATAAACTAACACTTCATCTGGAGTCTGTTTGATAGATGTCGCAATGTCCCTCATACCACATTTCCTTATTAAATATACAGGGTTTGTATTGCTAATATCCTTATATAAATGAGGTTTACAATTAATCCACTGAACTTATAAGTAGTACCGACAAGAGAACAGAGAGAAGTACAATAACTATGCTGAATAGATATGGTATGAGTGGCAATGAGACAACTCTCATATATGAAGCATATTGATGAAACTGTATGAAAATGATTGAATCCCGATATATTGGTCTTGGATTGTTAACTTATATTACAAAAGAAGTTTTTCTAGGATGCTATGGATCACAACATGTTTTGTTTAAAATCTATTGGTTTCCTATACAGGTTTAACTTGGGTTTGAAGAAGTCTCATATAACATGGTTGGGGCAAATTATATACTGTATTTTATTTTGGACAGTACGCTTTTTACATAACAACTTGTTTACATTAAAAGAGACGGGCTGATATACAAAAATCACGGCAGAAACATTTTGATTTTCACGTCCCAAGTCAGAAATCGTCTTTTTTTTGTATCTAAAATACATGAAATAGAACGAATCGAAAGTCGAAGAAAACTCAAAACATCATAGCATCAGATAAGAATCCAAAATATTCGACAGACCACTACATAAAAAGCTGAATACTAAGCAACACGAACACTACGAAAAACGACGATGAACTCGGGTGACCGGGAGGACTAGCAGTTTCTGTTTTACATTTGATACATTCGTTTTGCTAAAGTAATTGCAAATTAGATGATATATTTCATTCGGTGATGTTACAGTCAAAGAAAAAGTGAATGAGAGTGTATCCGACAAATGAAACATACCAGTGGCCATGTGTGACACAGATATTTCATCACGTTAAACAACTTATTAAGGCTTCCATTCTAGGTTCAATAGCTTCCTTCTTAGAAGGACATCTTTGTCAAAGAACGAATGATAGGAAACGCAAGCACTAGAATGTTATTTCAACATATATCTATACTCCATATGCAGGCTTTGCAAGAATGTTGTTTCATATAAATTGAAAGTTAACAATTGGAAAGTAGAATAAATTCTTTTGTCGTCAAATTGCGTTCTTGACCGACTCTCATTGTCAATTTCTATAGTGTTTTGTTTTGATAATTTTGAGCAGTTCTTCTAAGGCTCTATACATAGCCAAAACACTTATCCTGTTGGCATACCAGATTACTAACCGTGTTCAGTTACTGAACATCTTATCGAGATCGGGGCGATTTTACTAGTTTGTATATTGTATACAATTCTCGCCACTCTTCACTAAAAATTGTATTCTCCTAAATATGTCGTTGAAGTGTTTTTAAGTTGTACTGTGTCATCTTAAGTAATATAGGTCAAAATACAGTAGAAATAGTAAGTAACCATCGTTCATGAAAATATTCATGTCAACATTTTTGATGGCAGTCAGATAGTTAAATCTTAAAAGGAAACTGACTAAATATTTTAATGGTTCGGTGTCGAACAATGCTCCAGGAAACTAAATAAACTCATCATATATACCCGTATCAATTTGAGAACGCCAGATGCGTGTTTCATCTACAAAAGTCTCATCAGTGACGCTCTGTGAAAAAAATCCAAATAAAGTAATAATGTTGAATAGCATTGAGGACTAAAGGTTAAGCTACAGACAGGTGTAAAAGTGTGATTCAAACATATGTAGTCGTGAATTTCATTTAGTTTTTTTTACATTGATTCGTTGTTTGTTCATTTCTTAAAATTACCGTACCATATTTCATTTCAGATGTTTTAAATTAATTGCACATTTCGATAAGAAACTGAAAAATCCTTGATTTCAATGTATATCACTCTCTACTTTCATTATCTTTGCTGCTCGTTGATAGATGATATCAACACAAGTTTGGTTTATTGATGTTTTACGCTTTCTATCAAATATTTGGGATTTGTATAGGTGTTTACGAAGACAATTGTCAATTTTACGATCTTTGTTTTCATTCGCATACATCAATGGCGTTTTCCCATTTTTATCCGCTAAGAAAACGTCAGCCCCGTTCAAAATTAGTTCTTTGACAATTTTATCAAACCCATTTTTGCAAGCATGAGACAAAGCTGTCATTCCATCAAAATCACGCACGTTCAAATTAGGGTTTCTACTTATAATTAGAACGACAATGTTTGTATAACCACTTAAGCAAGCCAATATAAGGGCAGTCTGTCCAATTCGATTTTGAAGATCTACATTTACAAGAGGTCCATTTCCATAGTCATCAGCTGCATTGACTATTAAGTTGTGTTCGATTAGAGATTGAGCTATTTTAAAATTGTTATTTTTGCATGCTAACATCAACGGAGTGTCCCCATTATGACAAGGAACATTCAATTCTGCACCTATTTCTATAAGTAATTGAACAATAGCAAAATTTTCATTTTCACATGCTAATGTAAGAGGAGAATCTCCATCTGTATCAGGAACATTAACCTGTGCCCCGTTTTCAATTAGCAATCGGACAATATCAATGTTGTCATTTTGACATGACCATGTTAGAGCGGTTTGTCCATGCATATCAGATACATTAACGTCTGCTCCTTTTTCAATAAGCAATTGCACAATATCACTGTTGCCATTAACACATGACCATATAAGAGGGGTTAGTTCCCTTTCATCAGAAACATTAATGTCTGCTCCTTCTTCTACCAATAATCGAACAATATTACTGTTATCATTTCCACATGATACTATTAAAGGGGTTTGTCCATACATATCCGTTACCTTAACAGGATTAACCTCTGCTCCTTTTCCTATTAATAATCGGACTATATCACTGTTGTTATTTTCACATGACAATCTTAGAGGGGTGTGTCCATACATATTAAATGCATTAACGTTTGCTCCTTTATCTAGTAATAAACGGATAATATCACTCTTGCCATTTTTACATGACAATATTAGAGGGGTTTCTCCATTTTTACTTGATACATTAACGTCTACCTCTTTTTCTGTTATTATTCTGTTTAAACAATCTTCAGATTTGAGTAACAGTTCTACTATGTTGGTATGACCATGTTCGCATGCTGCCATTAAAGGAGTCCATCCATTCGTATCTCTGGAATGAACATCAGAACCCTTGTGTATGAATATCCTGGCAACATCTGTAAGCCCTGCAGAGCAGGCTTTCATAAGAAGAATAGAAAATGCTTCTCCCTTTGTGTCATTAATGAAATGTAATATGTAATTTAAAAAATCAGAAAGCTTTCTTTTAGAAGCTAAACTCAAAGGTGAGACGGGAAATGACCCAGAGCAGCCATCCTCTATATGGTTGAACTTAACAATTGAATCTCCATTGTCGATTTTAATAGTTATCAGTTCTTTGCGTCTTTCTTCGGGTAATTTATTTAGATAGTCCATCAGTTTATTCCGGTATTTTTCAGAATTCATCTGCCTGCTGTAAAAAAGACTAGTAAGCTTTCCCCTGGACCATTGATCCATTATTCGTTTAAAGTACTCGTCTTCGTTAAAATCTTTTATCAAGAGAGTAAATTCTTCTACCTTTTCATCCGGTGAAACTAACGATATGAGCATTGTACGTTCATATAACATTTTAATGTCAGCAAATCGTAAAAATGATATTTGAAATTTATTGCAATAATAGAAACAAAGAAAGTCAAACGTTTTATCATGAATTCCAGAGAATGATATTACTTGACGGGAAAGATCGTATTTACCTCTAACAAATAAAGGAACAAGAGATTCCAGTTGTTCCATTATACGCTGGCGAAGAGTGTTTCTCGGAATTCCACAATCTTCAAAGAAATCTTCCCTCGTTTGTTGTTCTTGGTCACTTTCAGAATTTTTAAGGACAGCTACATCTAAACAACCATTATATATTACAAGGAAAAACAAAGCGCAAAATTTCGTTTTGTCGAAGAGTTCCCTCAGCTGATCTATTTCTTCAGTGTATATATCAAACGGGTTTTTAAAAAACTTAAGGGCGTCGATGTGTTCATTTTCCCGGTAAAATGATTTGTATAATGCAAACATTAAAGGCAGGAACTCGTACTTGTCCAAATCTTTTTTAATCTGTTCGACAGTAAGTTCAGGCAAGTATTGACGGGCGATTTGTAGTTTAACCTTAGATGATAGATAAAAGGTATCAGATGATAAATTGCAAAAGTTCGCAGTAAATAGTTTTAATCTTTGAAATTGATTTTCATTGAACACTTGAATGCGACATGAAGCAATTAATTTAACATCCTTTTGGTTTAACACACGCATTGTTGAATCTCTGCGTTTTATCCATTTTTCAACTTCTGTTTGGATGACCGTATATTTTCCACATACATCATCGATTACAAATATTTGCTTCCAATTTCTTTGAAAGTACTTGACGATATCGGAAGGACTGTGTATAGGGATAATTCGATAACCTTCAGTGTCGCGTAGAAACAGTGCAACATGATGAATAGTTGCAGATTTTCCGATTCCTGATGTACCTATGACCGTGCAGCGGTTATTGTCAGTCAAGGATTCTAAAACGAAATCAACGGCATCTGTTTTGATAAACAATTTATTTTGTTCCTCCCATTCTTCAATTTCAAGTTGATGACTGTCTACAAGTAAATAATGGTTATAATTTTACAAAGATACTTTCAAAATGTCAACGTCTACCCCTTGCGAGACAACATTCATCGCGTGTGTTATACAAAACACATGTAGTGCATATATACTAAACACTTTTTTCAATATTTGTATCGATTGCATAATTCGTTGTTCATGTTTAACGCCCAATGGCAAATATGTCATGTCGGATCAAATTAACAACAAATACAACAAGCATTCTGAGAGTATTGCATGGCAAAACATAGTCCCTTACCGGGTAAAAATTCATTATACTGGAAAAAAATGCTAACTTGTTCTATGGTGTAAACAAAACGTAAATATCATGTCAATATCGTCAAGCATGACTAAAAACAGTGTGGAAAACTGATTATATGAGTGAATTTTTCAAGTCCAAGGACCATAGCTCTGCACAAAATTATTAGACCGAAACAAAAATTTGAACTTGATCTGCATCTTGTTATGATAAAACTATATACCATTTATCAATCAATATCTTGTAAGCATGATGAAAAAAAACACATTAGATATGATTAATAGTTCTCTAAAATTAGATAAGATGTATTACAGTGTATATCTATTTTCAAATTATAATCAAATATAATTAATAGTTCCAAATATTTTTTCTTTCATTTGTCACAAACTAATATAGATTTGTAACTTATCTATTAAATGTCAACGACAAATATGAAATCAATACCTTCAAGAACGAAGAAAAAAAGTGTGGAAAGCTGATTTGCCGGACTGACGAATGGACAGACTTCGTCGGTAGGGGACTAAAAACTAAGTAGTGCAGGGAAACGGTCTACCGTGATAAAGGTTTGGAATTAAGGACTACGACTGTAAAATTAGGTATGTTCGACAGAGAATGAGTTTTGCATTAAAACACGCAACCTTAGACCTTCAAGGATTCTTTTATGTATATTCTTTGATAGACGGGTTTGGCTACGTTTTTATACATCTCGTAGTGCCAAAGCGGACGCCTACTTAACTGGTGTTTTACTGCAGTAACGGGATAGCATTTTTTTATATGTCTTCACCCTAGCCAACCTTTCTGATATAAGGTAAATGCACTCATCCAAGCTCGTAAAATTTGACTATTACATTCAACAGAAAACTTTCAGTACCAATCTTAAGAATGGCTATCCTTGTATGTTTTATTTTGGTTATACAACTCTTTAAAATTTTAGGTATTTTATAAGTTTATGGCTTTAAAATGATAACGTGAGAGCGTTTATGGTGTTTTTCTTCTTGTTTTCGGTGTAATTTTTCTCTTCTTCTTATTTTTTATGTATTGTTTTAGTAACCTTCATTGAATATTTCAACTTATAAAAATTAGCAACTGCAAAAGCAGATAATATATTTAGTATAAAAACAGGGAGCAGTTTTAAAAGAAGCAAATACTAGAAAATTGGAGAAGGATAAAACGTCATATAATAAAACAATTGTTGAATTTTGATGTCAGTTGATACACTGATTTATCAACGCCAGAAATATGATATTCACCTTTGGTCGTTGACCTCGGTGAATATCATAACTATGGGGTTGATAAATCATTGTATCAACTGAAATCAAAAGTCAATAATAGTTTAATGTAACATATGCTAAAATGAACGTACAAAAAAATACAACAAAATAAAGAATGAATATTTACCAATGCCTTCAGAGTGGTATTTCCAAAACAAACTGTTCTAAAAAAAGTTGATATTTAGACCAGACCTTTCCTTTAGTTGTAGTTGTCACATTAGCAAAGTACACCCTCATAAAATAGCTTATTAAATGATATAAATACACGTATATATATGTGCCAAATGAGGGCAGTTGTTGAAGAATGTCTCACATATATTAGAATGATATATTTTCCATTAATCATTCTTATTGTAAGTAATTGCACCACGGTTGTTTGACAGCCAGATATGCAGCATACATGAAATATTATTTTATGCGTCTTCCATTTCTTATCATGATTTTTCCGACAATAGTTTGTTAGTTACCAAACGCTATTAAGTAAATGGCAACACTAATAAATGTAAACGTTTTTTGTCAAATCTCTAAAATTCATTTTTAATTAACAATCAAGATTAAAAAAAACCCCAGAAGGAATCGAAACTCAAAACGGTGCAGGACACGGTGCTTCAACAGTTTAAGCGGTTCCAGCTATGCCTGTCTTGTGACAATCATTCAGTCCAAAATGTCACAACGGGGGAATAGAACCCAATCAAAATCATACAAAAAGATCTAAAAACATGAAAACAAAAGTTTTTTGTACGAAAAGTTGAATTGATTGTTTAAAAAGTTTTTAGAATGCAATCATGATTCGCTTGACCGTTATAGAATATGTTTTACCTACAGCTAGTAATATATTTGATTGTGCATTACAATATATATATGTTCTGAATAAAAAAAATGTGGGCATGAACGATTGTGAACCTGACAAAAAAACATAACTTTATTCTAGGTGAAACATATATTCAATAGTTTAAAAGCCTTCGTTTTCATGGTTTCATAACTTTGGATAAGTTGACCTTCTGTTCCATTTATTTTCACTCATGTGTTGATTTTGTCAGTTATGATCTTGTCTATCCTATCAAAACCTAAACCTTTTAATTTCTTTTATATCTGTAGAAATGTTGTAGGTATTCAAACGATCATCTTCTCTTGTCAAAGGTTATTTGCTAATTCCTCAAGTTTTACTTGTACCGATGCAAAATTTCAGTTTTTTGTATTAGTACAAGAAACACGGTTCAACAAGTATGTGGCAACGTTCTAGTTATTGTATCACCTCAAATATAGGTCAGAATCGATACTTTCCTATAACAATAGAGTCATTGTAATTGACATTCCTTTAAATGTACATGTTAGATTTAGAGTGCTAGCAGTAAAAACACATTCGTGGACATCAACTAGAGACTAAAAGGCTTAATTTTGGTCAGATCATTAATATGTATGCATATTGATTTTGAGAATCAGTTTGTGTCAGTGAATCCAGAATGATTGTTTACTATAAGATGTTCGATCTGTGAATACAATGTACAAAGAAATGCCCGTTTACCCAAAAACGAGTTGTAGAATTTGATAGATAGAGGAGGAGGTAGTGATATAGTATCACGAGGCATATTTTACTAGCAAACTGGAGAGTTGCATTAAATGATAAATCGCGATGAAAAAAATAGATGAATCTTATTTCGTCCGAGCTATTGATACAAAAAGGGAGCTTTTTGAGCAAAAAAAAAAAAACCCGCAACATTATACTTCATTGTACTAAAATTGGCTTCCTTGCAAAATTGAAGTCATACCGTGTTACTCTATGTATTCAGAGCATCGCATTTAGATCTAATTGAACATTAATTGCATTGGTTGAATCGGCGCCAAATTTTTAGCAACTGCACTTTGCACTTCAACAGAGGGACAAAGGATATCAAATGCACAAATTCAGCATTTGATATTTTCAATGTGAAGATGGAACAGAGCTGTGTTGCGAATCAACTGTTATCACAACATATATTATATACATAATATGTACACAAACAATTATCTAGATAAACTTGTAGACCTTTGTTGATACATATTGATTTTAACATGGCATTTTTCATATCAGATCCCTTATCAGCCCTAGATCATGATATCAGGCTCGAGGGATGATTTTGAGCTGATAAGGGATCTAATATGAAAATTGACATGTTATGTTCTTTTATCTCGTACTTCAGCAGAAGATATACAGAAAAGAACTTTTTTTAAACTTTGAAAAATGTATTTATTGTATTATTTGTTTTTGCTTTTTTTAATAATATACTTTCCTGTTTCCTAATATTTGTTTTTTTTTATCCTACTTAGTTATGTTTTTCACTAAAAATGTGTCATTGAGGTGCATTTTTTGGAATTTGCAGAGTGACGTCGAAATGCCATGCGATAACGTTACAAAAAGACATGCAATATTAACCGGAAGCAGTTGATAATAGTCGGAAGCAGTTGATTTAAACTGGAAGCAGTTGATAACGAAAGTCATATCACAATTCTTCAAATTTAATGAATGGATATATGTATGAATTAGTTTTATCAAGGGCTACAATTATACCGTTATTTTCTATAAGTATATACTAAATATGTTTATAATACGACACCTCATGCATGGACATTTTAAATTTGTATTGTAAATCTTATGTATTTTCTAGTTTTAATTTGGGAGCAGAGTTTATATGAACAGTATATTCTGAGAAAATGTACTAAGAAAATGTTAATTTCCGTTCATTCACTTTTTCTGCATTCATATGAATTAATATATATGATATAAATAAGAAATACGCTTTGTTTTTAATAAACAAGGTTTACAAAACATTATCATAATATCAGCTATACTGAGCTCTGAACCAACACACCTTCTTTTTTCAAGTAATACCTCTTTAATTTAATTACACGCTTTTAATAGTGGAAAAGACAAATTAATGTATGCGCTCTTACCTTTATATATAAGTGAGTCAAGATTCTTTTGTATATTTTCCACAGCTTTAGACAAATTAATGTCCCGTTCTCTTAGTATAGTCAGACGTTCCAAATATGTCTTTTCAGTATCTTCATCCATGCAACAGTTCTCCAAGTTTTGAAACTTCTGTACAAATTCTCCTTTAGGCTTACCAAGATAAGCCTCCAATCGAGTAGCAATGTCTTTGAAAGAGGTAAAATAATCAGTAAGAATAGTATCCGATACTTGCGCATTCCCTCTATGAAGAATCTCATTTCTGGTCCTTCTGATACGTTCAATATCATCCCCAGGTAATATTTCAGTGGCTGCTGGAGGAATGTGAAAATCCCATCCTTTACTTGGGGGAGGGACTAAATTAAGATTTCTGACAAGCTTATAAATCAAAGGTATATCAAAGTTCACGTAACCATTTGCAGAAACATTGTTGATCATTGTCCATTCATCTGCTCGCAAATTACGGTTAAGAAACCTATTGCTTGTAACGTCGCCATATAGTCTATGTTGTGGTTCTTTTATTGCGATAATATCCTGTAAAATGTCTGGAAAAACTTGTTGTGCAGCATGCCCAATTCTTGCATAGTTTGTCATCAATGTACCACTGCTGGAGGTCATAGCAGATGCTCCTGACATGATTATGTCACCGAGTTCGTCTTTTGACACTGTCAAAACAAATATTGAATATTATCAATATAATTATTCACTATTTTTTGTGTTATTACACGTTTACAACCGTACTAGATATAGACAAACTCTTTTTTTTCAAATTGCTTGGTACATCATCATCATGTCGAAATTGAATTTGATTGAAGCAATCAAAAGACTCCTTATGAGGATTATTCCTCTATAATAACTCGAAATAAATGTAATGGTAATTGATATAATTCTAGGATCTCTTGATTTGATTTCATTGGTTACTCAAAATAAAACCAGGTCACGATCACAGGTTACAGGTCTAGGTCAGGTTCTCATAATTTTTATATAAATTTTGCTTGTAACTGATGCCCTTCAGATATCGTTTTAGATATCAATAGACGGATTTATCTTGGTTATTAGTCACGACATTTTGTAACTGACAAAATTGACCGAAGGGTTACGATAAGATTTAATAACAGTTTCTTTCTGGAATGTTTGTAACTTGATGTACTTTGATATAACTCATTCAACATGTTCAAGGGAAAATTGGCAAACAATGAAAAATTTATATTATGTTAATTTGGTATAAAAAAACACAAATACATAAGTATTAACGTTTTATTCCCCTAGATGAGAGATCAGCATCGTTTTTCAAATTGTGATCATCAGTTCTCTACATGTAGCCATCTTGAAGGCTTCCCGATTAAAAATGACAGTTTTATGGATCCTTAAAACGACTACCAATCGGCAAACTTTTACAAATAACTTGATACGAAACAATGTTTAAAAAGGTAAACCTGTCTGTCGATTTGACATCTAATTTTTATGAGATAACTATGATCTGTCCTTTTTAAACTGTTTAATTTTCACTAAGTTTATGAAACAAAGAGATCAATTTTGGAATTACTTTTGAGCAGTTACTTTTATGGATTCTCTCATAGTTTAAAGTCATAATAAAAAAGCATTCTGTGAGTATTGCATGGTAATACATAGTCCCCTACTACTTAAATCATTGTATTGGAACAAAATTCTAACATGATCTTTACCTTGTCATCGTGTAAACTTTATAACAAATATCAAGTCAATATCGTCAAGCATGACGGAAAAAAGTGTTAAAAACTGAGTATTTGAGTGAATTTTTCTAAATCCAAGGACCATAACTCTGAATAAAAAAATCAGACCTGAACAAAATTCAAACTTGAACTGTAACTTGTAATCATAAAACTATATACCAATTAGTATATCAATATCTTCAAGAATGACAAAAAAAGTGCTGAAAACTGATTATTTTAGTGAATTTTCTAAGTCAAAGGACCATAACTCTGCACAAATTCATCAGACCAGAACAAAATCACAACTTGATCTGTTACTTGTCATGCTAAAACTATACAACAGATATCTAATCAATATCTTGAAGCATGAATAATAAACTGCTTCGCTGAGCGCAGCTGGATACGCCCGCAGATGTCCAACCCGAACAGTTGGGGCAAAAATGGACACACTATTCAAGCTTGATACAGGTCTGAATTTGGATTGTAATTAAATATTTGACATATTATAGGTTTTTGAATACATGTAGTCAAAGAACTTGAAATAGGTTATATGAAATGAATTTATATTCAATTAAAGATTTCTTGCTGTTGTGCATTACACTGTGCTGTTGCGCAATACTTACCATAACAATTAAAGTTCAATTTTTTCTCAATGTCATATTTGAAATTTATGAAAATCAATAGGGAGATTACATCAATAGCTATAAATAATTCACCAAAGTTTCATGAGAACCGCTGAAAGCATTTTTGAGTTATTGTCCAAAAACTGGAAAATCCTCCTTTTTTATGAAATTTATAACGTGTTGTTTTCAATTGTTTTAATGGATAAAACCCCATAACTCAGAAATGTAAAATCTAAAATCTATAAAATTCTAAAGGGAGCTTACATCAACAGATATAAACTAGACTTCAGTAGCTGCGAGTACTCTCAAATCGTTCTTTCGTATTAATTTGACCTGTTGAAGAAATTTGTAATGCATTTTTTGTTATTCAGCTTTAATTTATTTTGTGTTATATCTCGTGTCGCAATTATTTATATGTACCACATTTGAAAAGTATTTAGTTAGGTATATTTGATACGACATGCCGCAACTAACAATAAAGTAAAATAATTTGTCAATATCTAATACGATTTCTTAGTAGAAATGAAAATTACCTAAAATAGACAGTCAGAACATGACCTTGACATTTGTCACTACATCATTTATTTTTTGGGACCAAGGACCTCAAATCGAACAACCCGAGGTTTATATTACTTATGGTATATCTGTTACAAATACATTTCAGTTTTTATGAAATATTTAAGGGGGATAAACTCACACGGAGTGACCAAACCGCTTCGGTCAAATCTATTCTCGACATCTTTAAAATAATGCGATCGATTTTGGGAAATAAGTTGGTCATAATCCTTTTCGGTTCCTAAACAAACAAACACAAAAACAGTGTTTGGGGAGACAGACAAATGTTAGGCTAGAAGATTCCAGTATCAAAAGCACATTACCCGTTCGATATCATTTACAAAATATCTTAGCGACATCTTGCGAAACAAGGAAAAGGGATGAAAAAAAAATATAATAATCATTGTAAAATCTATTTACTGACAGGTGGGAATACCTAATACAAAAATAGATAAATAAAACAATAATGAGATAATTAGATATATAATTAAAAAAATAAATAAATAAACTTATTAATAAATTAATAATGAATGAATAATATATATTAATTAATTAATCAATTAATCAAATAATTGATAAGTTGATTAAAAATAGATAAAAATAAATTTGAATGAATATGTATACATAAATGTATATAATGATAAATGAATAAATAGAAATAGGTTAAGGGCATACGATACAGTTACCGGGGAGGTTATGACGTTGCTAACGTAAAATATTATTTTCGCAACGTCGAAATGTGACATATCGGGAAAAGACGCATTTTTTGACTGATTTTTTATCATTCAAATTGATTTAACTTGAAAACAAAGTCAAGGACCATTCTTTTTTAAAATGACATTTGGTTTGATTACGTATGAAGATTAGTTGTACCGATTTTTTTTGAAAAAGTCAACAATACAATTTTTTTAAATTCTATAAATATACAGCAAACAAGAACGGATTTTTTTATATTCATGACCATTTGATAAATATAAGCTTTTTCTAAAAATAAAAATGCATTAATTTAAAGGATTCTTATATAAACAGATATTACAAATAACTTAACAAAAAACAGCTTATATTTAACTTTTAAAACAAAAAAAGTTATGTATTTCTGTCGAAACGAAAAATACGTCCACAAATCCGAATTTTGAGCAAATATCTGAAATTTCGACCTCGTTTTACTCAAATAGTAGCACATGAAGGTATATTTTTTATTACATATTTGATTTAATCAGGTAAGAAATAGCCTATATTTTCATCAAAATGTCATCATGGGATCAAAACTGTATCGTATGCCCTTAACTTATCAAAACAAATAAATGAATGAATGAATGAATAAATGAAACATATTTAAATTAAAAGAGTAATTAGTAAATGAATGAATTAATTAATTAATTGATTAATTAAAATTCAATATCTTTGTTCAAAGAGAATAATCTCACTTACACACAAAACAATGTTATAGATACACTTAATATGAAAAACGTTCATTTATCATTCTGAATTTTTAATGATTTTTTTTTTTAAAAGATACATATCTTTATCTCATTTGGTTCAGTGTTCCATATTTCAGATTCAGTATGCATAAATGTCTTCTAAAAATGATTTCGGTGTTGGAAGTTTGAGGAGTTGTTCATCAGCAACACATGCATTATCATTTAGATTTTCAGCCTTTCACTTCTCAGACATAGTTAATTAATGTAGTTAGGAACCATATAATGCAATGATCGAAAATAAGGTATTACTGATGCTATTGCATGCGTTTGTTTTTTTCAAATTTGACCAATTCACAAAAAAACTAATACTTAATGCGTTTACTTTGTATGCGTCCAATGAGATTTTCTTGAGTAATCTTCTAACGCTCACAGTCAAATATTTGAAAGCCAAGAATGTGCTTGTACAGAAATACGTTACCAAGGACCTACAAACAATGCCTAATCTATCTTTAGTGAACTTTGACTAAGGAGTTGGAACATTAGTTTTTTGTAAATTTCTAAACAGAAAATTTAGAAGGGGTATGTTATAAATAATGTCAGTATCAATTTACATTTAATTATATGTAATGTCATATAGTTTAAATACAGCAGCTGCCATGGCGGTCGAATATAGTAAAACCTTCAGGTCAGGCCGGGTACATTGCAATAACGGACAATTAACGAAAAATAATCCAATGATGTGTAGTCTTGTTGTTAAGAAAATATACAAGTAAATCCACTAATCTATGATTTATCAAAATTCCATTTCAGGCGAATATTTACATTATATACAGTTTACAAATGTATGATTCAAAGATACATCGGTACATCACTTTTACACGTTATCACAAACGGATTTCATTACATTTCGTATAAAAAAATAAAAAAATAAAAACACGCAATAGTGTCCAATACTGTGCGGACAAAAATCATGCATCAGTGTCCAATACTGAGTGGACAAAAACCACGCATCAGTGTCCAATACTGAGCGGACAATAAACCATGCAACAGTGTCCAATACTGTGCGGACAAAATATCAAAAGTAAATACAAATGAATAGTAATGTAGCACAACTTTCTATTAATCTATCTGCCAAAATCTGCTAGAAATAACAAAATCCTTTTTAACGTTTCATATTGTGTTGTTCTTTTCTCGCCTTCAATTCTTCTAAACACTAAAACAGAGGGCTCTTATATGCCCATGATCTCTAAATATTCTCCAACTGACCTAAATAATCTCCAAATATTCTCCAACTGACCTAAATAGTCTCTAAATATTCTCCAACTCTTTGTTTACGAAAATAAAACATACAAGAAGCTG